TATTCATCCAACAACTGAACATGTGACAATTTAAATGTGGTACCTTTCTAATGTTTTAGTCATTATCATGAGATGAATCTCCAACTAATCTTTGTTTCCTTTTCCTTATCACTCTGATAACGATAAACAGAACCACTTCCTGCAGTCTTTTCTGAAACAGTCTTTGTACAGAGAAAAAGTGTGTAAGTCATCAACAGCTGTAAGAATACTTAGCATGAAGTTTTAAAGCGTCATACTTCCACTGAAACAGAAATCAAATTCCATTATCTACCCTTGAAAAAGGCCTGCTTACAGATCATACTTTTTTGTTATAATACCAAAGTTTTGGTCATTATTAATAATAGTAATTCTAATAATAATTCTAACCTCTGGCTGCATCACGATCTGCTCTATAGGACATTGTGTCAGCGCTGGAGGACCGTCTGAGGCCACTGGTCCAAGCTGAGCTCTCGGTGCTTGTGGACGTCCTCCATCGTCCAGAGCTCCTCTTCCCTGAGAACACAGACACTCGCAAGAAATGTGAGAGCGGAGGATTCATATCAAAGTGAGTCTGAACGTCTGAACTCTGGTCAAGGACATTTGAACACATGCACATCTATAACTGCTTACGCCAGGTTAATACGCTTCCAGTTATCTGTATTCCTTCATCCACCGTAGTGTGTAGGAGTAGTTTTTAAAATTCTCTGCTGAATAATCCCTACTCGTTCATTTTTACATGCAAAACACTGCTGTTTTAGGTTAAATATCTTTCCATGGTGGAAATCAGGCAAAACCGTTTTTGTGTGAGTATAGTACGTTGAGTGGTGGAAATGTATATACTCATGTTTCTTCCTCTCCTCCCGACCAGACTGATCAAACACACCAAGCAGTTGCTGGAGGAGAACGAGGAGCGTCTGTGCATCAAAGTGCTGCAGACGCTGAGGGAGATGATGACGAAAGACCGGGGCTACGGGGAGAAGGTATGTTCCCTGTGTGTGTTTGACGTTTCCCATCATCCGCTTATAGCCATGCCTGAGTTCCACCCACACACGAGATAAAACACTCACATCTCAGGATACAGTGTTGCTGCTGTCCCACTTCTCCACACTCACCAGGAGACATGAGATCAAAAAGCAAATCATCAGAAGAAGAGGCTCAGCTCTCTTTGACGACCTCTGGAGCCTGAACAGTGCAGAGAACAAATGATCCTCCTTCACCCGGGAAGCGCGTGAATCCTCGTCGTGATTTTATTGTTTTGGAAAACTCAATTCTTACTTAAAACTGATTCCCTCATTGCTTTCTCCAACAAACACGTACTACCTCCACAGTAAGATCAAATGATCACAGTGATGAATATTAGAACAACATTCATTGGTTAATAATTAATGTAATAGTCATTCTTATAATAATCTCTCATCAATTGTTTCAACTTTGCTTTATATATGTTTTCCAATATAAGGCTAAATCAATAGAAACAGTAAGGCTTCACAGGATGAAACAAAGTCGACGACAAAGTCAACAAACTCAAAAATCTGTGGCAATAACGTGGAAAGAAAAGGTGCAGAGCTACAGAAAAAGACAGCCAAGAAGAAGTCTTGTATATGGATGTTAATAGTTTTAAGAATATTTAAATTTAAATATGTAATTGTTAAATTTTTTTAATAATGTGTTTTGTTGGGAAAACAACTAATGTGG